AGACTCAGCCTATCAGGGGATCGTTGTTTTTAATATTCGGGGCTTTGTCAGCATGCACAGATACTGTGACTTGTGAATAATTCGTATATTATATTTGATTATAGTAAGAAGCCATTGAAATCAGTTATTTGCTGGTAATCTGGGGTAGAAATAAAAATGCAAAATTTACCTCCCTTTACGCATTTCAAAAACTCTATTACTATACGTTAACTCTTAATAGGGCTTCTGCTGTAATCGTGACTCGTGTCGACTCTATCTGTCAAAGAGGATCACTGATAAAACGGCCTATCAGGTGCTAGAAGATCCAAATCTCGTTGTACGACGGGTTTCAAACTTACGTATGGTACGTTACGTACAACAACGCTTAAACACTTTTAGCTCCTACAAAAACTCGTTCATATGATATCTAGCGAGCGAGATTAATGAGTGCAATGTGTCTAATTCAACGAATGGACTCGCGAGTTTTGCAGAAGTCTAGAGTTCGTATTGCGAGGCTGCAATACAGCTTCATCAAGAACGTTTGGCCGTTAGGCAGTGAAATGCACTGTGCACGATGAAGTTTACAATCGGTGCAGATCGTACTAGGCCACGTGCATGGGGTGAGGTAACGAGAAATCTACTAAGTTTGGGCCTAGTGGCTGTTACGTCCTAACGATGTCATGGGGGCGTTGTAAATGTAACAGCAGCTTGAGCGGAGGCGTACTCCATGTATGAGTGGGTGCGTTGCTAGAACAGCCGAGGTAGTTTCCCAACAAACAACGTACAAAGACTGCTGTTGCCATCGGCCACGTACGCCGCAGATCAGCAAGTGGCCTAATCCTCCGGATCCACGGTGTGGTGGACGTCTATTGATATACGATGCTTGCGGCCAGTTTGTTTCATTGAATTGTTGGCCCAGCCGTATGGTGGAGCCACTGCAGATCTTTATTGACAGAACAAAACACGAACTAGACCGTCTTGTTCGATCCTGATAGCCCGAGACTCATCCAGGTTCCCGTTAGATACATTGACGAAAATACGAGCTCGTTTGTCCACTAGGTCCCGGGTCGACGATCACCGAACACCTACCGGACGCGCCTGGTTGTGCGTTATCGGCTAGTGTAAGTAGTTGGCCAAATATGTAGCACCAACGTAGGTCGGAGCACGGCATCTGGCTACTAGCCGAGTTTCTACATGCCGACTACCACGAAGAACTGAACTTACGAAAGAGCTTATGAGAGCGGACGGAGGAGTGTGGTGCCAACAACCAAAGAGTTCGCTCGTAACGCAGCCCCAGCGCGCGCGTTAGCAGGAAAGCCCACAAGCAGCTTTAGGAATTGCTAGTGCTGCCGAAACCAGCTTTAGGTTTTGCCTTGTAGGGAGCTCCCTCTAGCAATGATAGTGACTAACTTAGATGGCACTCTTTGATGACTGATTGAACATTATATGGTGTACTTGAATAGATTAGGGGAAGCTGGAAGTTAAAGACAGGCATGTCGAAAATAATCAGTGGCGATCAAGCATCTAAACACTAGTTTGTAAACATACAATTTAACCCTCTGAAATATAGCATGCGATTATGACCACCACAAGAAATCGCTTCGTATACTGTATTTTATTACATTATTTCCAACACGTCCAAAGACGTGGTATCTGTGCCAATTAGAAGTGTAGATTTCCTTTAAATGCCTGTGAAGCTTATCGCTGTTTCAGAACCTAACCAAAAACCCTTAAGGCTGTATGATGACCGAAATATGGCAGCGGAAATTTCAGATACTGCAATTTCCAGGAACGGCGAGTAATCGAACTTTGTAAACAGCATTATCTCTCCGACAAAACTTTAAAAATGCTTACTGGAAGCAATAAAACAGCTTTTGTCAAAATTATCTGAAATCTGTTTAGACAGGATATAGGCGGCCGTTATTAATGTAATTCGTAGCTAGTCTCGGAAGATGCCAGTTGAAACTCAGCTTAGTTGAGACTGCGTAAGTTCAACTATTCTCATAAGAGCGCTTACTGAAAACAGTTCCTTTCCAAGTTCCAGTGTTTCCAAGAGTAGTGCAAGATCTTCCTCAAATTTATGCTGGTACTATTAAGTGCGGTAACTTACCATACGAGTCATTCTGTTCTCGTGTGAGCATACTTAATACTCAGAGTCTTCCTCATTCGATCGACAGGGAGGAAAAGCCACACTGTTGGGCCCCCACATGCATTCAACGTCACCATCTTCGTTGTCAGCTTCTCCCTCGAATGCTTTCCCAAAGCAGATAAATAGATAGACAGAGTTTTTCTTCCAATCCGGCCCTTTTGTCTTTACATCCATTTAGACAGACAGTGTGTCTCTCTGGTGAACTCGTTGAAGAATGATGCCCGCAGGCTTTCGATCGCGTTTAGACAGCACGAACAAAATGCTGGCACAAATACTCATAGGCAGCCGGTATTCGTTCGACGACACCTAGCAGGGAAAAATTGCGGGCCGAACAGAGACTGAACGGCAATTTTTGGTGGCTCATGGCTATCCGTTTCGCTGTAAAGCGAAGGTAATGCGCGCCCCGGTGTTGGCCACGTTACTGCTAAGTGCCGTCTGACGAACGGCTAAAGCAGTCAGAAAGGTTCGAAAGGATCGGTAAATTTAGCGAAGGTTCAGGAAAATTCGTGAAGGGTCGAGACCTTTCGATTACAGACGTAGCATAGTTTAATTGGCTGATTAGAAGCATATATGCTGGTGTTCTATTGGACGGGATGCTTGTTTCAAAACAACATCGTAGATGGTTTTTATGGCGAAGGCAAACTTACATATATGCGCGGCTAAATAAGCCCAATGGCACAAACTGTAAAATAGCTTTGAAGGGATAAAAGTTTTCGCCTCGTACCTCAATGTATGAGTACATTTTTGTATGTAGATTTACTTTACCAAAATAATTATGATACTAAGGAGTGATGGCATATTCTCTTACTTAATACTAATATAAGTCTTACTTAATACTGCTCGCCGTAATAACGTAACTGTTAAGCAAAATATAAGTAAATTTCTCCTATCGGAGTGTCACAACTATACGACTGAAGTATGCTTACGATGGTTTTTGAGAGCATATCGAATAGGGCTGCCGTAAGGTCGTGTAGACAACGCACGATTATGTGCATCCTTCTATGTGACTTTTACATAATATTTGAGCTATACTCTAGACGAACAAATAGGGCTCTGTCTTATGTATCGACTGCCTTACTTCATATGACCGTAGATTATTTAGTTAGCGCAGGGGACATTTTCTATTTTTATAGGATTTAAAGAAGCTTAGATTTGAATATTGTTTTCTAACTTTTCTTTAGTTTTACGATTGAATTTTCTTAAAACGTTACTGGGTGAATAGAAGACGATTACCATGAACGTGTGGGAAACTCAATTTACTATTCATAATTTGGGCTTGCTTGATACGGCCTTCAAGAAAAGCTTGCATGATTTTGTATGTTTATAAACAAACGAAAACTTTCTCTGTTTCGATATTGACTTATCTGTTCTATATACTGATATGTCCTTGTGTGTTATATCTTGTTTCGGATATCATATGCTAACCCAGGATAACCCCATTTGCATACCTCAACAGTCTTGGCAAAGTACCGTAAATATCCGCGAGTCTGCAGCAGAGCTGAGGCGCAGACGTGATCAGAACACTGCTATCAGGGTTCCCAAATCACGCGCGTTTCAGCTTGTCTGAGACCTGTGCTTCGATTTACAGCCTTTTGCTGTGCCTCATAAAGCGCTAAGAATAAGGATGATCGGCCTCCGACTCGATTTTAGTGATGTGTGCTTTTTGACCTGTAACTAATAGAACCTTATGATACACGCACGTAAGCTGCTTTACAAGGCATATACTGGTTTATATATATAATTAATAATAAGTACTTTAACTAATAATAAGCTAGAACGAATAATTATCTTGATTTAGCCAATGTATTCAGAATAAACATACTCAACATACACACATAAACAGACCTCCTATACTTTGTATACACGTTAAAGTAAAGCTAAATACAACACAGAGTCTATAAAATGCATCTGTATGGCCTTTGAATATACCGACACGCAAAAAGGCCAAGCAGTAAAGTCATCGCCTATACATATATCACCCGCCCAAGAGTCCTTACGACTACTTATCCTAAAGCAAAAATCATACAATGCTATTCCTGCTTCGTAGCCAATCACGATCTGTACGCTACTGCGTCACCTGATTCGAAGCCTGCGATAAGCCAAAGTAAACCATCTGAGTTTGATCAAGTCACCGCAGCAATGACCATAATCAAATGCTACGCGGCTCCTGGTCATAGTAGTGCATCAGGAAGTAGCCGACGACGGCCGCAGTAATAACAAGGGCAGAATGGTCTAGCACCGATTACTTATCGCGCTGAGCCTTCAACGGTGGGCTACGTATAGGACTGCCATTGCTACTACGGTTGCGAGCTAGCTCAAAAAGTGCTAGTGGCGAAGCCTTATCGTAGACACTCTGCGCACGAAGGTACCTCAATACGGCCAGCCTGATGCTTGTGGTGGACGAAACAGACTAAACACGGATCTTCATTGGTTTGCTGCTGTCATTGATGCTGATGCTGTTTCTATTTCTCTTTGAGTGTTTCTAGCGTTTTCTCCGGTTCGGATCCCTCGTAGACGGGCGTGTGCTTCTCTGTCTGTATGTGTTCGCTCGGCGTCGCCGGCGGTGGCCATTGGGAGTTTCGCCGGATAAGATCGTATCGGAACAACGATATCAGAGTGCTTGATGCTATGCTCAGTTATGCCACTGGGGCGAAGTTAGCCAGCTTTCTTTCCCGGCCAGAGATGGCAGCAACTGCTGCTGCTGCTGCTGCTATCTCTGTTGCGGGTCGACACGCGCCTTGCCTCTAACGGTCAAGTCAGCCAAGCAGAAAGAGGAAGAAATGCACCAGCAGCCTATCTAAACCTAGAAACCAGAGTAGGAACTACTAGTGCAGGCTTAGCTAAGGGTCCTCACTGGCTCATAGAAGCTTGTCTACAGTGTTAGACGGTGACGACAATGTCGATGGCTACGACGACCCTATAGCCCCTCGCACGTTGGAGAACGGGTCTGCTAGGCAGGATAGGTGAAGAGACCAAAAATAGTTTCCCCACTGAGTGGCTACTCCAGCCAGGCGACGTTTTGCAGTCGAACCTACAAGGCAACCCACTAACCAAAGGTTCGCGGAAGGTAACACAGCTCACTAGACGAGAAGACGAAAAGAGCGAGAACGCATGCGAATGGGCGATGGAAAGAAGTGGCAAGCCTGTAAAAGTCCCTTAAAGTGGGTTTAAACAGCCAGTTCGGTAGCATCTTTTGTGCCCTTCAGCTCGGTTCGTCATTACGACCTTATCCAACGGACCAAAATGGTAAGTTTTTGACATCGTGAACAACTACCTCGTCAACTGCTGCGTACAATTACTATTGAATGCCTACAACGAACTATGAAAAGTCCGTATGATTATAAAGTATGCGCGAGTGTCCACTTCATCAAGTGTCTAATGTGAATCAGTTGGGTGTTCGGCAGCGCTGATACTTAATCAATGAGCCAACGGATCGATATTTTTTACGGCAGGTGCCCGACGTTCCCTGTAGTGGTCTAACCCGTTAACTCCCAAGAAACAATTTGCGTGCAGCAATTCCGTAGCAAAGGATTACAAAGAAGTACTTTAGAGGATACATTTATTAGTGAGACTGTAGATCGTTATTGTTGACGACCTGTGCAGTAGTTGTGTGCCATAGTGAAACTGGTAGAAAAAATTGGTGCTTTTCAAGTTACGGTGTGCCTAAAGTCCGATTTTTAATTTCGAAAATTTGTGCGCGAGACTTAGGTTGTGATAGTAACACTTTTCCGTAAGCCTGCTTAAACGTCAAGTGTGTCGACTTTCTCACGGGAGTGAATCGCATTTTACTAATAATAATTTCGTTTTTGTTTTTCAGGCCGATCTTAAGCCCGCTGAGGTCGACAGTAAGTACGGAAAACAACATACAGATATCTTGCTGAAGTTCCTCAACTACTGAAGTACACATGCGCCTCGAGGCAAAAATCCTAGCTTGTTTCTCAAAAAAAACCCTATCCCATCAAGAGATATAGTGTTGCCTATGTGTAAAGCAAAAATTAGTTTTTTAAATAACCCTCGCTTATTTCATTTCGCTTAGCCAGTCTGTAACATCCTTAGGCCTGTTTGGGTTACCCTGTTCTTTTTTTTTTTTTTCCCCTATAATAAACAAAAGTGCTGCAGAAATTCTAGTAAGAGCCGTTTATTCTAGCCAGGTGCTTGTTGTCGAAATCTTCGCTCTGAGGTATTACAGTTTTTAGAGATCTGAGATGGCATAAGGGACACACGTGATCCGAGAAAGCATCGTAAAGGGGGAATAACACAAGTTATTTATTCACACCACTTATAAACTCGGAGCTAGCACAGGCACACAGCATTTTTACTTAGTGTTAAAACAGCGAATTCAGCTTAGCATTAGCAGCATTAGCACCCGAATGCTTCAAAGCACAAAATTCTGACCAGAACATTTTAGTCAAGCGATTTGAAACCCTAATTAGAGTCAAAACCTGTTTGAGTAAAGGAAGTTACCATTAACGAGATTAGCGCAGGTATAAGTAAGTATCTGGCGAACCCGGCTAATAAAAAGATTCAATATTGAAGAGTAACAGTACCCTCAAAACGGACAAAAGAAGTAACATTAGTATTGATTTGAAGGCGAGGTCCAAAATACGATGTGTAAGGCACAGAGCCCTTTGAAGCGATTTTGTATATAATTTCTGGCATAAGCACAGTTGAAACTAAGCTTTCATAAACATTCTTGATTATGTTGCACGTAATTTTTTTTACGTTAAGAACAGAACAAGTCTTGTTAGGATTGGCTGTCTATCTGCGTTGTAGCACACTTCGTTTAGCGTCGTTCTTTTATAGTACCATCTATTAGGAACTCTGATAGCGATTTCTAGCTATTTCCTGGGTTGCTTCTACGCGCTATGAGCTTAGAAGCCTGCGTTCCGAACCAAGCAGTTCGCCAAAAATGTTGTCTGACCCCATTCGAAGCCATATATGACCTGTAGGAGTCACGCTACATGCGATGCAATGCTTTAGTGAGCGTTACTGCCTTGGCACACGTGCCAGAATAGGAAAGCTAGAGTTGTTTGCGTCATTGCACGATCTGTACTGAAGGATCTAAGAATGCATGAATTTGGTAAAGATCTCGTGTTGTGTCTGCGCGGGCAAGTACTCAAATCATTCCTATGGTGCTCAATTAACGCTAATGAAAATTCGAATGGGTGGCCAATTTAAAAGAAGAATATTTAAAAAAGCTGCATTAACATCATGTTGCTTGTATCGCCGACGTGGCTTGAACGAATAGGCTCACCGGAGCGCTAGCCATCTTCACCGCTCTACCGCGAAATAATACCATGATATTTTACAAATCGTTTGTACGTTATGGGTCGGATAAGCGCCACATAAGGGAACACTTTCTGTTTGATAGTACTGTAAATGTAGCATTACTTTTGGATCGAATAGGTGTAAGTATGACGTTCGGAATGCATTCTAATTTCTGGGTTCGGTTTTCGTCTGTCCGTCTGGGCTTCTGCTCGCAGTGTGCAAATTGCATTTCGAAATCTACGACACATTTGCTGAAGGCAAGATGGACGCCGCCGACCTTGGCTCACTGATGCGCTCGCTAGACCTGCGCCCTACCGAGGCCATGATCGAAAAGGCCGGTGGATCGAAAAACCGCGGTGAGAAGAAAATGACCGTCGAAGAGGTCATGCCCATCTACTCACAGCTCAAAAAGGAGAAGGATATGGGAACCCTTAACGACTTTATTGAGGGCCTGAAGGTTTACGACAAACTTGAAAACGGTACCCTTATGGCTGCTGAGCTGACCCACGTGCTCCTCTCCCTCGGTGAAACGATGACGGATCGTGAAGTCGATGAAATCATGGCTGCCTGCTCCGGACCTCAGGACGAGGATGGTTTCATCAAATACGAGCGTAAGTATCTTTGTTTTTAAGCTTTTCACCGTCGTACTATTTGCTGAACGATATAAATCGAAACTGGTCACGGGCTTTCGTCACGTATCCTGTTTACTTTTAGCAGAAGTTCTCCATGCATTGTTTTGATGGTACGCTATGGTCGACCTCTGAAACACAGCCCTCGAACGAGTCAACCGTTGATATATCTATGCTGTACCGTTTCGGGCTCGTATCAAAACGACGATCAATGTCGACTAATCGATCTAGACAAGTTGTCTAACCTTCTCTAGAGCTGTCAAGCCTAGCCACTAATTACAAGGTACTGTTATTTTCTTTTTCCAGACTTCGCCAAGACCCTCTTGGCCGGTCCTTACCCTGAGAAGAAGTGAGCGCGTAATGGCTAATCGGAATAATGCTAACGCTTATCTCATTTAAAAAAAATATCAAGATATCAAAAATTTTCTACTTCCATAAGCATTGACTTGGTATTCTTTCTTGAACCATCTCATTCGATTAATTTCTTGGAAACATGCGTTTCCGCCAATCCACTGCTATTACTATAGTAACAATGAAAAGCTGGATTACCAATCACAGTTACTAGGATATCTCAAGAGGGTCACGATCAAAGGATACCCGATGTACAGTGTAATTTCCCGTAGGCAAAACGTAAAGGGCCCAACGCGTTGCCAACGCTATATTTTCAGCTAGCAGGCATGCGCCGAGCTCGTACGTTTTTCCAAGACAACGGGTGGAGCGTACAGCGTATTTTGTACACATGCTAAAGTTAGTTGTTGAAAAAAAGAAAGCAGGAAAGAAGAGAGTAACGTAAATTTCTGTTATACAATTATTATCTATCTTGAAGAATTCACTTTTACAAAACAACGAATTAGATTCAAGGGAATTAAATTGTCGTTGTATTATTTCTAGTTGGGGGTCTTCTTATATAGAAGGGCATAGATAGTCGGTAGTAATATGGGTGAATTTGTGGTAGATAGGGATTTCATACGTGATTAAATAAGGGTATCTGGGGTTTACATCAACTGCTGTGTTCTTGCGTGCTTTCGTGAGATCGTTCAGCTCAAAGGAAACTGGCAATCGCAGTACGTCACAACGTTGGTGGTCAAAAAAGGCCCTGAACATTGCCAAATTTCTGTCCAAACATACAGATGGTTGGAAGTGTGGTTTTTGCCAATTTCGAGCGCTACACTTGATCTTGATTTCCTCGATCGAAGGTCACTTTCGGTTATTGTCGACAGAACCGATTAGATAGCTCAGGAGACTACTAAATAAAATCAAATTCGAGCTCTTTTTACAAGTTCTGTTTAGTTATTCATAGCTACTGTTTAAACAGACATAATATACGACGTTTACTGGTGCATGCGGTCTAAACTCGGGTCCATTCCCATATCTTCACAGTCAAATCGACTGCCATGTGATTGCGTAGCATTTTAACATCTAAACACCCATCCTTAAGCTCCTGAGTGAGGTTTTAATGGCGATCGTTTTTCTCATGACTGAGCTTTGCAGGAGAACGTGAACCTGTTGCAATACTTAGACTTTTATAAGAAGCCCTTGCCTTTCTCTGCATTATCTAGAAGTTTAACATGCTAGCAGAATAATATTCAAGTTACAGCCCGTCGGTTAGATTATAGAGAAAATACACCAATCGTCTCTCTATGTTTTGAGCTGTACGTCCGGGATTGTCTATAGGTATTCGATCGCACGGCGGATCTCAGATATCTGATTGGCCACGATTTGGGTTGTTCGTGACTACAGAAGGACCATTCACTAAGCTGGACGATACTTTTTTGCAGACTGAGCCTTCTTAGCAATCCTTTGGTGATTATATACATAGAATCTAATAACATTTGACTGCAACGTTGGTGATTTACATCAATATCTTTGAACATTACCCGGGTTTTAATTAAGGCTTACTGTACAGTTTACTAAATGACCTCAAACCAATCCATTACCCTACGAACGACTGCTTAGCCGACTATATCGGCCCATATAATCTTCTCTTTAATCAGCTGTGTATGTAGATAGCGAGATTCGAACTAACATCCTTCAACTTATCAAACAAACGTTTAGCCGTCTAACGTTCGGCCTAAATCCTAGCTCGACCTAGTGCTGTCATCTTAGCTACTTCGACAGAAGCATTTTCACGGACGTAGTAAGACAGCCTCAGCGGTAGGTTTTATCCGTTACGATTGTTGTTGAATGACTTTTTTCCTAGTTTGTATTGCAGAGAAATAAAGGGAGTAGTTTTTTAACGGTACATATTTGCTAATTGTATTGAAGAGGGTGTGTAAACTATAGCGGTTTTATAGAACTATTGTTGTACACGGATCCGCCGTCCGTTGCTATACGGGTGCATTTCTACAATTCAAAACAGACGTCTACTCCTGGGGCCCACTATACATCAGTCACTTTTTTCATACGATTTATTAATCTTCTACTGATACTGCAACAAGCGCAGATAGGGCATCAAGTTCGAGAACGATCTGATTATTTACTTTTTGTTATAGTCATGTTTGCCCTAGCCCACAATCTTTCCGGGTCAAGTGAGAATTTTGGATAGAAATTACTAGGCTTATTACGTGAAATCAAGAGTAGAGACACGAACGGATTTTTTGCTATCATTACAAAAGCTAAGTAACTTCTTGCGCTACCAGATAAGTGCAAATACGACTCTACAGGGATAATTCTAATAAAGGCCTGCAACAGAAATTCAAACGTACAGCCGATTCCTTAACAGATCGTCGCCAGCATAGGTACTCCGCAATGGTCTTCGCAGGCTTCGTGAGCAGTACGAATTTGGCTGCCAAGACACTTCTCAATGACCGAGTCTAGAAATCGCTACCGCTAACGAAAAGATCAAACATGGCTTCAGACTGTGTCTTGGTAACTGCTTGGAACTACTTTGCAATTAATAATAGGATTTGCTTGAGTACAGCTTCCTACATAGTAAAAATATAACATTGTACTATTAAAAACTAAGATTACACCGAAGGTTCAGGTGGTACAAAGTATTGGTAGGTTTTTGATATTTATTATATGATAGTGTTTTTGTTGGGATACGTACTTTAACACTTGGCTAATGCCGTATATCTAATGAGTATTTCGAGCCGTTTTAAATTCCTACAGCGTTATATAGGAAACAGCTTTGGCCGCGATCACTACACAGTGCAAAATGAGATGTGTTTTTATTTATCTAAGTATTGCTTTTCGCCGCTTGTTTACGGAACCCCATCGTCGCCTTTGTAAATTAATCAGTAATACCGAAAAATACAAGCCGACCTTTTCTTAGTGTATACCCCCCAGATACAGAAAAGGATTCAATTTACAACAGCAGAACTATCAGAAGAAGTTACTATTCATTGAACGAGTGGAGCATTTCAATGACCGTTCATAGTATAGCACAAAGACAGGGCTAGAACTTTTGATAACTGAATTCAGTTAATGAGATGCCCCCGTTATGATGGCAAGGTGAATGCGAATTATCTAAAATAAGAGCAGATTAAGGATAATACTTCAGGCCGATACAGAGTTGGGTGGAACAAGCGATTTCAATACGTTTTGACGGATTTATGTAGTTGTCTATCTACGTAGCTAATAGGTTTGCGACGCTACGATGACTACTTAGGTTGTTGTCGAGTCGATGAAGTTGTAATCAAAGATGTAGCACGCTTCAGATTGGAATCGATTTTTTTCAAGTGCTATACTTAGATTATTTGTAATATGAGTAAAATGTTCATTTTGTTTGTTTTTAGCTTTATCTACTGTTGTTTTTCTTCATTCCATGCTTCATGTGTTTCCATTTGTATAATCTCAGCCTTCATTAGCGTACGTATATTAGTATCAACGCGCTCTCAGCTTTTTTTAATTTCGAATCCGCTTACAGAACAGTTTCTTCTTTGTTCTGCGGTGTACTCACTGGGTTGACGTATAGGTATCTTATCGAACTAGAGACGCTATCCACACGGTGTAATATTGGGGTAACGTGCCCTGACATTGGCTTAGACTAGGAAAGTTGACTTTTCATCGATTAAACAGATTTGCTTTTGTTGAAAATGATGGATTTCGTGTCTTTTTTTTTTTTTGCTATGATATATTCGAGTTTTTAACAGAATATCTCTATTCTCAGTTCTGCTGCTTTAAGACCTTGTACTACGCGAGTGAACTAATTTATCTATTAGCTAATGGATCACTTCTTTCCAGTTCTACCATCCTTTGCACTTTTCTTTGGAAGATTAAGTTCATCGTTGGTAAAATATTTTTATCGGACCGAGGCAAAAACCAAACGTTTTAGCAATATTTGAAGTTAAAATTTCTTTATATTTTTTTAGAAGTTATCCATCAGAGGGGTCGGTATTTTTCTCTAATTACTATGGCCCCACAAATAAGTGGAGCTGCCGATATCGACCAGGATTTCACTCAAGTTCATTTAATTGTGAACTTGGATATACGCGTTGCTGTTCAAAATTTGTAATTTATGCGTGAGTACACTGCTCTTTACTGGATAATCTTAGACATTGTGGTAGTCAGAGAGAGCTATCTTAAAATCTAATTTTGCATTTTATTAGCATACCTATCAAAAAGTAAATAAATAATGCCTGAAGTGATTCCTTGTTTCTTTTCTGTTGAATTTTGTGCCTTGGAAAGGCAAGCATCGGATCGTTACGGCGGCGGTAGGACATGAAAAAATTCTGTGGATTGTAACTCTATCCGAGCCATAGAAATTGTATTAAACTACTCGAATTATAGAACTAATAGACTTGTTTCGGTTAAGCTCAATGAAACTTGTCCATCTTTTTTCAGATACATCACAAACACGACATGACAATGTCCTTCGAAACACATAAAAAAAGTCGAAATTATAACTTTTTATTGGAAACATAGGGTATATAAATAGCCCATTGAGGTCCTAGTTGGTAAGGTCGACTCAACTCCACCTTGCCATATGACCGCTTTACAATAAACGGTGTTTCGAAATCATCTGGTGCCGTCTTTTGCCCGTCGGTTCATTGCATGCTGCCTTATAGAGTATTCCACGTCGCAGTCTGTTATTACTTCGTTCAGCCGTTTGCACTAGTATTTACTACTGGAAGTACAATGCAGACATTGATCCAGACACTTTATGGTGAATACTTAGTTAATGTTTAATTTGGATATCACAAGAAAATTAGTTAGCTCCCTTTGATTCCCTGAAGACTCTGTTCCCTAGCGTCACATGCCCGGTTCTTGCTTCGATATATCTTGACATAATGGATCATCAATCGCTAGTGTTGATCTTGCCGCGTCTTGACTGTAGAGGCGTAATCAATCCATCTTTATGGAAAGCAATAATCTTATTACTCAAGAGTATATATATCAAACTTTCTTACATGTGCGACATTTGTCACTGTGTTCAACGTCCGAGGAATCCCCATAACCTCCCTCTTTGAAGGACTATTTTTCTGTCTAAAACTCGTCGTCTTCTTTGAAACACCAATCGAGCCCTTTGTTGTATCCCAAAATAAGTTTAATTCGCCCGGCAATCACCTACCTCCCTCCAACAAATGGACGGGTTAAGCAAACCTACAATTCTTAATTTAACCGCTGCTTTTCTGTCGGAAAACAACTATCCGATACATTTCAAACTTTTCTGGTTGTATAGTTATGCCTCGATATATAATCCAAGCGTGATTAGTCTTTTTGCAAGCAGCCTTATGTAACTAATACTAACAACGGAACAACAGTCCCACAAAATAAGGAGTCCCAATAGCAGAAAATGCATATTAAGCGACGCGGCAACTCTGCGAGTTAGCGGGCGCTAAACTCTCATTGAACTGTAGCACTTCGCGCATGCGTAACAGTTTTGCCCCTGCCCTCCTCATCCTCAGCTTTCTCGGCCATCGCTGCTTTTATCTTCCCGCTAAATGCTAGTAGTTCCGGCACCTCGAAACATAATATAGCCGCCGATATCCAGTGGGGACCCAGACCCGGGTCATCACTTGCCAACACACTTGTGGACAGCGCATTTTCCGTTGGGGACCTGTTTTTTGGATGAGCGCAGCAAAGTGTAGGAGAGACACGGCAAGGTTCGAACCCTGAAAGGAAATGCTTGCAAATATCGAAGGAATGGCAGTAATTTAAGCAGAACGTGGACACGGCATACTGATTTCACGCCGGTTTAGACGTTCGGTCTGATGCGGCTTACCAGTTGAATTAAATTAGCAGCGTTTCTTTGTCCTACACGTCCCGATTAAGGCACGCGTGAATTGATGCTTGGAGGAGAGGGTCTAGTTTAGAATAGTTTTCAGAATTTCTGAACCGAGTCAATGAACTGTGAACTATAGTGACGTGTATGATTACGACGTCAAGGTAGGCGACGACAAGTGCGTCGTGTGTTCGGGTCGGAGTTGTAATAACTCTTTGTTCGTGAGTGTTTCGGAGCAAAAAAGTACGTGGCCGTCCGCCACGATGCACTCCGAAGAGATAATGGCCCTTGGGGATATTTCAGCTGTAAACTCGACGAATTCAATCGATGGAAACGCGAGTGATACGGGGCCTAATTACATTCTTGTGCACCCAGGCGTCAACGGGCCTCCACTAGTTTACGCGATGCCATTGTATGGCTACGCTATGCCTCCGTTGATGATTCTGACAATTGTTGCCAACACGTTTGTCGCAGTCGTACTGTCACAGCGTCATATGATCACGCCGACCAATATTGTTCTGTTAGCGATGGCCGTATGCGACATGTTAGCTCTTACCTTTCCCGCGCCTTGGTTTTTCTATCTGTACACGATGGGCAATTACCACTTAGCTCTTGGTCCATCCTCCTTATGTATTGCTTACCAAACCATGTGCGAAGTGCTTCCTAATGCGTTTCGCACAACTTCTATTTGGTTAACAGTGTTACTCGCGGTACAACGATACATTTACATCTGTCACCCCACAACGGCTCGAACCTTGTGCACAGTTCCGAACGTGTCGAAGACGATTGCGCTTATTACAGCTCTGGCCTTTGGCCATATGATACCAAAGTTTTTTGATGAGATCTTCTACGACGTCGTACTACCGATGGACGGCAAGGCGACAACGGTGTGTGCTCGGAAGATGGCACGTTGGTTAATTCTCTTCACCCCAGATGTCTTCTACAACGTGTACTATACGTTCAAGGTAAGTTAATGGAGACAAACAAGCATTTGCAGTAATCGACCTGTTGCGCTGATGACTTTACGTATAGGTAGAAATCCGCCATTCGTGATGGGCACTTCATAACCTGCGTGGCAACAAACATGGCCAAGGGTTGTGTTTGGACAATATAAATACTGTTTATGCAATATATTTCTCGAGGCAATATACTTTTGCGTTGCACGACGAGCACATGGTACAATCGATACGTCTAATATTCGTTCAAACTTGTATTTCCCCTTACGCAATCCTTAACTCTCTATTGCATTCTAGTTAGCTAGCTGTTTTCATTTACCTTGGAGATAATCATGACAACAAGGGAAACGCTCCATCAGAAGATACGTTAGACTTTTTCTTTCCCTCTCCTTCATTTCTTCTATTTTCAGTGCTATACAGTGGCCAGACACGCACGGCAATTTGCGATAAACGTTGCCGTCGGCCTATCTCATAAACTGTCTATCCACGCTGTCCTCAGTTACGTGTCGTTAGTCGGTCAGCCAGTGCATAATGTGCGAGCCATTGAGAATCAGGAGGGGGCAGACAAAAGCTAGGGCAAAACAGAGGGACAGATGGCGTAAAAACTCGACGGTAGAAACTTGAAAGCGTAAAAGTGCTATGTGAAAACTTCATTAATCTTGCGTAGTAACTTGAGCCAAGCGGTCGAAGTGTCATAGTTATTACTTCTAGATACGAGCTAACATTAAGTAAGAAATAAAAGATCAGCTCGTTTTCGTTTATTATAGAGTGTTCTCTTCCACGCATTAAATTGGAAAAGTACTACGTTTTCAAAGGGAATAGCCGAGGCATTTCGCTGTTTGCTGCCAACCAACCTTGAATAGAACAGTCTCAATATTATATTATATAATATTCGCTCAAGAGGAGTATCTAACCAATTCAATATGCCATTATTTTATCTAGCACTCGTAGACCGTTAGTTACGTTTGCAGCATTATTTATTTCCTTCTCGATTATTATATTTTAGATGCATTTCCTTCCTTCCTTCCTTCCTCCCTCCCTCCCTCCCTATATATGTATATATATATATATATATATATATAGTACATTGTGGAACGCTGAACCATTACTTTTGATAATTTATCTAATATCATCCCTAAGTGTTAAATCGAATCTGGCCAACGACACTTATTCCACAATGCGTGTAAACAGAGAAATATAGTATTGGTAGATCGCTTTATTTTGATTCGTGCATTAGTTCATGTATGCCAAACATTTACCTAACTTCACAGTGTTTTTTTTCCAATGTTAGATGGTATTCGTCAACCTGGTTCCCTGTATCGTGTTGGTTGCCCTTAATATTCTATTGTTCCGTGCCCTTCGCCGAGCCAAGGAAAACAAGAAGAAGCTACAGGAGAAAAACAAACAGGTATAATGTAATAATAAGCAATTAACTGATTTCAATATTTTATCAAGTGTGACCTTGGTAAAATGTTATGCTACCAATTGTCTGAGCTCTATGCATCACGTCATTCGTCTCACTTTGAAGGAACAAACTCCCGCATGCATGCATTTCCAAACCCATTTGGAATAGGTAAATGGGCCGCTGCATACACTGGCTAGGTTCTATTGCCCAAAACCATATGCACGCGGCTTTGGGCAGAGGCCCAAGTCGCAGAATTGTAACTTTCAACCTTTTCATAGAACAACCAGATCGCACTGTTGGTCGAATCACACGTGCCTTCTGTAGTTTGTACAACAATGACCAGTAAGCTCCAGGTAGGGAGTGTTCCGGTCTGTCTTGATGCTTAAGGGGTCACCTCGATGTGCGCACTTATTTAAGTTACAGGATTCGTACGTTAAACAGTCTCAATTCCCGCCGAAGGACAATGGGTCTTTCGAAGTGCCGTTCTCCCAACTTACATGCACGAACTGTGATCGAACTTCTAATTTAACTTTAAATTCATTATACTAGTTTTGTCAGTGTGTCGGAGTGCGTATGCGATGCACAGCGAAGTCGGTATGGCAGATATCTGTTCATTAACTAGAGGAATACAAGTTGGCTACCGGTTAATCGAGAAATCCGCATAGCTTGTCAGAATATATCACAGGCCGTTGTCGTGATCGTTGTTAATACTGACAAAGGAAATGGGCTAGATTCATTACCCGTTTAATCTACCGTAATGCTATCCGTAAGAGAAGAGCAATGTGTCTAATGGACTCTATTCACGCAGCTCTCATCTAATTTCTTACTTACGATGTACTGACCTGGAAACAGTCCTATCGTCGCCGTTAGCAGTGACACCGCGAGATGATTTCTAAAAGCATGCTTACCAATTGATGATTTCACATGAGGATCTGTTATCGGTAGCTGAATCTTAAACATCTTAAGGTATTGAGTTGAGGACCTATGACTGTCCTTTGTTTAAATCTATCTTGACCCTTTATCTGTACCCTTGACGGCCAGAATCGGTACCGTCTAAAGTCTTCAATTTACGCCTCGTCCTATTGAAGAGCCCTAGCAGCATTCTATAAAAACGATGCCTTTATCGCAAACTAATAAATAGTCGCTCTCTGGATATTCCTGCTAGCACGGCACTTTTACAATTGAGTTTTCAGACTGTTGTTTTCCGGTTCGCCATAGTTCAGAGATAGCCGACGATAACCTAAAACGATGCCAGAGAGCGTCCGAGTATACAGTTTTAAAACTACTTAGTGTAAAATTCACTTCTTATTATAATTAATACCTATAATAATATTGTTAATAATTGTTATTATGATTTGACAGTATAAACTATACGGAAATGTTTTGCAAGTGTTCATGTCCTGATTGGACAGGGTCTTCACTATGTGCCCCTAATGTGGTCCTGTCTTCGATCGAGCACCCTCACTACAAGGACGAAGTATGTCGTCTAGTTTAGCAAAAAGATGCGCTACGTTTTATTCTCTTCGTCGAAAGATATATTCATGATGTTAACAAGCGTTTAGTTTCAATGAATCACCATAGCCAACACTCAAAATATGTCGTACTATACTTACGCGCGATCTTAGAAGCTAAACTAACCTAACCTGACCCTCGTTGTTTGGGATGGGTCTAACTCATTGAGTTGGCTACAAAACATAAAGTGCAGTGTATAGCCTTCGCACATGAATCACTCACCATGCACTCTTCATCTTCACATCATCATTTTATTTATTAGAACACTGACTTCATGTTAGTAGGCAACCGAAGTCATCGTAGTGATCGGAGTTACTATCACACGTCAAGGTGCGATATAGATGTATACAGTATTGGTCCTGGGGGCAGAGGTCATATTAGAAATCTTGCCAGAGAGAAATAACACAGTTCCACTAAGTCATGGAATCCTATCCACAACGGCTCTAAGGGGCACCATCATTAGCTACTGGACCCTATCCCTCAGAGTTGTTCTATATCTTCTATATTTTAGATATATCATTATTAATTTCATTTAACTGTCGATTGTCCTGTGTTATGTTTATCGGTTTTCCATTGCTTATATATAACCATGGTATCTTTGGACGATAATAAGCTGACTCGACAACAGTCTTTTGTGTACCTTCTAATTATACTCGATGGGCCTAGCCCAAGTATTGTCTATCGACGTGTATTGCACGTACAACGTAATACAGCACAAAAAGCGCAGGCGCCTTTCAGGACCGTTGAAGGCACGCGCGTTTCTTTATGATAAGCTATGCTAAGTTAGTACGTACTTATGACGCTAGTAACACGGATTGCTCTTCTTTGTTGTACTTCAGGCAAGCAAACGAAGTCGTGATTCTCAAAGCACAACACTGATGCTAATTGTCGTCGTCACCGTGTTCCTTGCTACCGAAATCCCTTTGACAAGCGTTCTATTCGTGCATGCGTTACATAACAATGCGGTATGATTACTTTTACAATGATAATATTTATAGAAACGATTATTATCATTAGCTAAGTATAAGGCGTACCGTGATAGGGCGAAGAAGAATATTTTTGTCCTCCGTTGTCCTTCGTTTGGCTTCCTCAGAGATATTTTTTTATTTGTTAAGAATATTTATAAATTAAATCTATCACTTGGTTATTTAGTCAGTAGATGTTTATATAGTTATATTCTTGGTTTAAATATATACTTAAACGAATTTGGCTTACGTGAACGAATGCTCCAGAGAATATCGTACGCTAATATTGTTATTTTCTTGTAAAAGTGTGCCAGTGTATTTCTCTAGTTCAAGACAGAGGTCAAAATGATTCATACGACCTTGTAGTAGACGCAGCAAAATGCTCTAAGGATCCTCGATCGTATCAAAAACCTAAACGAACACTCGAGCTCCCGGTAAATGAAGTCTAGACTGAAGCACATAGAATATTGACGATAACATAATGTAACGGTGTCGTCGTTTCTATCCTTGCCTTCCTTATTTCACTATGTTTAGGTGATCTCTGTGGACTACGGCGTCTTGAATACTGTGGTAACCTTTGTTAACTTCTCATTAATGATGAGTTACCCCCTCAACTTCGCCATCTATTGCGGGATGAGCAAACAGTTCCGGAACACTTTTCGGGAGCTCTTCATCACGGGCTGGTTGCGTGGATCCGGGGAGCTTAGTAAAGCCCAGTTGATGAACACGCTCGAAACAACCATATAGATCAAGCCTTGCGATTTTCCCGTTCCAAGCAAAAGAAAAAACGATGTCTTCAGGCCAAAAGCTGTTCATATGGGTTTCATTCGCAGTCTATCCTAGCCTTGTAACACGAATATTACTTAACTAAGGTAAAATGCGAGAGGCAGGTAGATGTGTGCCTTAATTATGGATCTAGCCAAGTGAAATTGCCATCTAGGGGGTAGCTTCCTCGTTTCGAGACGGCTGACTCAATGCACTGGGGGGAGTTTAATGCGACTCCAACCATCCATGATCGACAACTGACCGTTACCCGCAAAGCCAAAATCGAAAGTTCCTTAGCTCGATAAGAAGTTGGACATATACTAATGAATTACGCCAATAATGAAATACAATCTGTCCTATTAAAAATATCATCTTATATAATTTCGTATGAGATACGTTTTCGATTAATCATTGAGCTGAAGCCTGCGGCTGAATTTCATCATAACAGATAACACTCCAATCGTTCCCTTGCATACATATGTAAATACACACATATACTAATTATAAAATTATCTACATAACAACTTTAATATAATTGCTATTAGTATTGCTTCAGTAATGTTTACATCTTAACATATTGCTAATTGAGGATGACAGGGATGCCGTAGCAATGTCAAGTTAAAAAAAGGCTCGAGTGAAAAAAGTATTGAATACTTCGGTCACGGAAAAACGTGCGTCGGCCAGAGTAATTAAGTGCTTTATTAATAGTCGGAGAGTATTAGTGCTAGTTTAACCCTTAATTAACGTTTTCCAACGATTGTAACACAAAGAACGCGCGTAAATTACTACTAAATCAAAATTGATTGCCAGTGCTGATCTGAGCGACCGCGGGACGAGTACCATATGGTCGATCAGTAGCATGGAACTCTAGCCATTGGGATACGTATGCCTGGTAGCACGAACTTAACACACGGGCCATGCGTGATAGAAATGTAACTAAGTGACGCCGTTCTGCATAAACGTTCTATCTTTAGTTCGAGTTTCGAAATTGTCCTATGGACAAAGACGAGTCTTCTGTTAGGTGATTTCAGGATTACTTCATAAATAATAGTTAATTGACGCGACCAATAAGTGTATAAAGGGTATACCTTAAATATGATGTATTTTTGCACTTTGTCTGTGCCAATTTACTTAAAATCGAAATAATGCCGCTAAGAGAAAGCTGGTCACAATGAGAGAGAGCGACCGACCGGTCCTATTGTATTTTATAGGGCATTGTACTGTATAACCATTAGATCGACAAAGGACAATATGGGAAAGAAAGCACTATTATATTATGGCAGTCCTGACATCACGTCACTGTTGCTCTAGCACTGAACACACATGATGTTATATTTTTTCAGTTTTATATATATATATATACGTTCGAATAGCATAATCCTCTCACTTGTGCTACTTTAGGACACTCTTTATTAAGGACAACTCCGATTTTTCCCTATCAGTTGCAGGAAATGATTTCACTGACCAACATCGTAAGAAACGTCAAAAGGTCAGTACCCACTGGACCTGGGAATACTTGATTTCACTTTTTTATCAGCTTGCCACTATAATTATTAGTAAACAATGTGTAAGTAGAAAGAGTTACACTTTGGCTAATGAAATTCTGGTTTCTGTGATCTGTGCCAAAAATACTTATTTTTTTTTTCTATCTATTTCAAAGAACTAAAACGTTATCGCTGTTATCTGAAGGTATGTGATGTGAAATCAGATATCACAACGGTGCAGCCTCTATACTCCCATAAGGAAAATGGGGACCGTTATTGGTTAGTAACGCGCGTAGATGCGGCATGATTAGTGTTTTCTTCAGAAATTATGTGAGGACAATAACTGTGCTCTTCCTTGTTCTGTGGGCCTGTAAAGTAGCTCCTGGCGATTTCCTAAATTAAATAAACAAAGTACGGATTATGTTTGTTGTTGCAAGACGATATGCTGAGTCTTAGCTGATCAACATTCATTCCGTAACTGTCAGGCTTTAGGACGTTGTTTGCAACATGCTTACGGATTTGCAAAAAAATGCTATCGTTTACCCGTGCTTTGTTATGAAATTTTTGATGAAGCGGTGCTGTACGGTCACGGCACGATCTAAGTAGTTCGGTATGGACATAATTAGGCGATACGCTCTCAAATATTTGTGGAAATCAATCGTCGTTTTTCTTTCCTAGCCCCCTAATCCGACCGGCGAAACAATGTAAATCGTCTAGCCGACCTGCGAAGGGTACGTCCAACGACACTTCACCCGCTGGTATTGGTAAATACCGCTTCCCTCTTCATGCGCTGCCCTGTTAACCGCTGTGAGCCGCAAAGGTTAGATACTGTTGGATTACGTGACAGGTAGATTTCCTGCAAGTCTTCATGATACGTTATCGTATTACGATGCATACAGTTGAAAGTAACAGCGTGAAAATACTGATATGAAATTAGTTCTGTGGACTAGAAGGCTCTTGTTTTGGTCATGCCATACTACAAATGCAAATTACATTAGACCAATATAAACTAAAATAGAAAAAAGGGAATCACCAACTATCAAAATAAACAGTAATATTTTTTAAAAACAACCCCGCTGTTTTGTCTCTAATTTACATATGCCGATCATCGTTTCACCTTCTCGTCTTGTTTCAGACTCGATGTATCGCACGGATGCCGCTAGAAAAATGTTTTAGACTAAACAGAAGAATACAGAAACTTACTTTTTGCATAGAAACTTGCTCTGGCTAAATATCAGCCCGCTCTTCAAACTGAAGACACACCGTCAAACCCTTATTTTCGGAGAAGTTGCTTTATTGTTTCCAATCGCTGCATTATACCGTAATACCAATAGCAGGCCGAAGGCTCGCTCGTTGTGACATCTAAATTATTGGCTGCTACTAATTGGGCCTTTAAAGCACAGGTAGTGCTGGTTGCGCCCGTACCTGAAACAGATGTAAGCAAGTGATTTTAACAGATATCACTTGTGAAGAACACAAATATCATTTAGGCTTGCTTTTTTCGCGCCTTATCGCAAAGAAGAGATTTTTTCTGTTCTATTCGAAAAAATATTTTCGATAAATAACTAAATTCTGGAGTGGATTAAGTGCCGTGTATATATATATATATATATATATATATATATATATACACGGTACTCTAAAAATCTCCGGTTAACTTGAAAGGGTCACTTCACAGTTTCAAGGTCGTATATCTGTGTATGTATATTTGCCTACAATACACATTTATCAAGTGACTTTTGCCCACGTATATTAGATGTGTCATATAGGTCACTCAAGCAACTAGTGATTTGGGTTTTTTCCAAACAAAAAATGTTTGTTCTGGCGTCGATGTAATGCTCCACGCAATAACATAGCCGCGCGATATACGTTTCAAAAACTTTAATCTGTAATGCTCTGACTTTGGTAAAAATTATCCAACTTGCATGTTTTGGCGTCATATAACTACTCACTATGGATAATCACGTTCACTTAACACAATTTAGAAGACTCATTCAATGAAGTTCTTCAATGCGCCGCTTCACCTTTCTAGCCCACTCTTGGTTTGATCGTTTGAATTATACGAGGATTCGTGCCAAATTTTACGATTATGATTTGCTTTATTTTTCGAAAACATATATCACTGGGCAGCCTCCTCCATCCTGCCATTCCCCTTATGCTTGTCCTCCTTTCTGCCACACGATGCGTAACTATCCTTTCTTTGACAACAGCGCATCCGTTGCCACAACAACGGTTGTGTCCTTCGGTACACAGGATTGTCGACCTGACTGAGCAGATATTTTGCGCGTTACCTCTCGCCTTCTCTGACGTGTATTCCAGCGTTGTAGCTGATAGTAAAAGTTTGCTAGCAACAGACCGTCTGCGTTATGTTGAGGACAATAACGGTTTTCTTTAAATTCCTCAAATGGAGGGTTATCTGCGGTATACTACAGTAACCTGCACTGGCTCAACGTATGATCACAGATTCGACTGAGCGCTGGGGCCCTCGGGGGGTATCGATGTATTGAAGCGGTGAGTAACCACTTTTTTCTGCAACTGACTTTACTGTGCCGTATTAGGAACGTTGGCCGACTGGCCTGCGATTGTCGAACCAGTGAGTCCAACTCGATTTATGTTCGTCAGATCCGCCTCTAAACATCGATCCAATCTCTACGGCTTTAGTGGCACTGTTCTGCGCCGTCCCCCCTTGCCCTCCCACCACCTGGTATTGCGTCACTCGACGCTGTTGTTTCTGAATAGAAGGTACTAGTCGTTGTAGTTGAATGCTTTTTTCTTCCGCTTCAAGTTCAATGACTACTGCTACTTACCGAATTCTACCTGTAATCCTTTTCTCTTCGGTTTGAGCGTTCAGCGTTAGCGACAAGTGGCGCCCAACGAATATCGAGCTGCAGTCCATTCACTTGCCTGGTCGATCATTATTCGGCGACGTCGTTGCTTGTTCCTTGTTTGTCGCTCCGAAAACCACCGATAGTGGCACTAGTAACCACAACAGCAGAAGCAGCGGCCACTCCAGTCAAACTACTCACTATAGGAGGCTTCCATAGACGACCTCCTCTCCCGCCGATATCGACGTGTGGAACCCACAACGGTGGTGACGGCGGACGTCGCATCGGCGCTCCAACTGCTCCAAAATCACCGTCGCTTCTGCCGCCATCAAGCGTCGTCCCCAACGTCAGACGCAACGAAGACAAGCAGAACAACAGGAGTCAAAGCAGAAACGGTTACCACAACAATAATAATAACGACGACACTGACGCGAACGCGAACAGCGGTAACAAACGCAGCGAAGGTGTCCACATCAGAAGCATTCTCCTGACGACCATTTCTTCGACTCGGATTGGTGACGTTGAATCGCGATCCAAACTTCTTGGTTTAAGTGGTATTTGTCGTGGTGGTAAAAATAGTAGTGAATGCAGCGGTGCTCGGCAAAATCTAGTATTCTGAACGATCTCGAGATCGAACCCACCAGCTTTGCTTACAGTCGACGGTAGCAGAACTCAATCAGGGAGCGAGTCGATCAGTTCTGATAAATTCGAAACGATGGACAGAGTTTCCGTATCCTCCGTGAGGCCGCCGGATCGCTACCCGCGACCAACTTGCCTTTTGGTTGCGTCGGGGTGGATGGCGTTTATATCATCATTGGTATTACTTGTTGCATACGCCGCACCTTACTGGCTTGAGTCGTACTGGGAAACGCGGTCCGAGACCCAGTTCATACGACTGGGCTTGTGGGAGGTATGCTTCAATCGGTACATGCATCCACCGTATCAGTATGATGAAGTGTTTGATGGTTGTCACTGGATACATGGTTACTATTACCAAAACATCAGAGATTGGCTCATGCCAGGTACGTATGGTTGTATTCGTGATAATTGGTTTGTATGAAAGGGTAATTGAATCTATGTTTATTATATATATATATATATATATATATATAAGGAGATCGTATTGAGGTACGGGATTGAACGGTTCAGAAGTAGCATTAAAGTCAGTCCAAATCTATATATTTTAAATGTTTCTATGCATAGCTCTGCTATGGTCTAAGAAACAAAGCCATTTCTGAAATGATCGCCAATAATAGGAATTTCAGAACGAGTTCTTAATCACAGATACAATGCCGCAAACTTAGTCTTCTCCTAAGCACCAGTCATCAATATCCCTATCGATTCGATAGGTTACCTTAGTCTATCCATTGGCGAAAGCAGATACTCTGTCGAACATGGTTCACTGCATCTCTCACATAGGCCTTGGTAGCATGTTGATGGAAGCACCTCATCAGCTGCAATAAACATTTGACCAAACAAGAAAAACGCTACATTATCCCAGATCAGCGCAAAAATCCTGGCCTTACTCTGATTCCCTTATAGTCTTATAATAACCATTGTTTTCATAAAACGAGAGAATCTAAGCATTTGAAGTCGTTATACATACAACCGTATTGCAGTAATCGTACTCGGTAATTTCTGCAATACGGCGACACCGATGTAGATCTCTTCTGAATACTTTTTGCCTGCTACGAAAACGGACGGTATCCCTTTGTTCGCAATTAGACGATCGCTTAAACGGCATTATTGAAGTTTAGCATGAGACGGGACGAGACACTGGTAAATTCGTAACCTGTACATTATAATAATAATAATGTGTTTAATGTATACACAGCATGCACCTAGCTCAATGTGATAAAATGTACCTAGGTTTTTAGGTTGTATTACAATACAGAGAGGTTACTTAAAAAAAAAACAAAGTTTTTGTTACAGACAGGTGTGTAGGCTACAGAGTCATACACAGGACAAGCCAGCCAGGACAATGTGGCATCATTAAGTTCAAAAAACGAGTACCTAGAAAAGTTCAATGTCAGGAACCATACTGCGTCTTCTCGTACGATGTATGTGAGATGTTTTCCAGTCACTGTTTAAAAGGAAACGCAGGACACCTTAGATCTGGCTTACGATTAAAGACGATTGTTTTTTTAGAATGTAGTTGATCCTTAAAACTAGCACCGGCTACACACTATTAAAGTAAATGGGAAGTTGTGAGATACAGAAAATTGCCTCGTGACACACTATTGAGGGGAAAACGTCGTCTCGATCCAGAATGAATACGAAATGATTGTATAGTTTTTTAAGTGAGGGGGTACAATACCAACTATAAGGTAACTTCTTATTTAACTTAAATGTACGGTAACCTTGTCTAATTTTTAAAAATAACTTTTAGATAGACAACGAATCAATGCATTCAGGTATATGTGCCGAAGAGAACCTTGGGAAGCTTACTCACCTATCTAAGTAAATAAGCCTTCTTGCGACAAATAATAATAACATCGATTTTTTTTAAAATTGACCTTTATTATATTTCTAAGACTGCACTAATCTAGTTGAATTTCTATTTGGAATACTTCTTTGTTCCAAAAAAAAATAGGACGGCATTTTGAACGTCTGTTCATTGGTCTTTCAGACGCACGTACGAACGCTAAAAAGGTGATTGCATCTGAAACAACAAACCTGAACTCCACTCAAAAAAATAATTTCCCTAGCATGGGTTTCTCGTTCCTGTTGAGTAAATACTGGCGAATTGGCCTTGTTCAAACAGACAACCAAGATACCAATAAACGAAAAACTAAAACACGTTTAGCATAACACTTCCTTAGCTTAGCTGAACATTCAGTCGATATATTTACAATGCATTTAAATATTATAAATATATTGATTCTATATGAAGTTGTATCCAGATTGGCGCCTTTATCTGAAAGGTGTAGATCTACCTCAATAAACGCCAAGTAGCCATATGAAACTATACTACACAGCCATTGGTTGTGATAGGTCCTTTGCGGAAGGTCCGATGGAAATAATGAGAGTCTCAAGACAACTTTTTCCTGGGCTCGTAGGGCTTGGCATGCCCATTGCAAAAGCGTGGGTTTGGTGCAGGATCACGACTCCGAACTATGAGCACGTTTGCTACGACAATGCTGCCAACCTGGCTAGACCTCTATTTCTTACAACAATTATCGTAGTTCTATTAATCCAGTCAGAAATGTTACGCCAGTGAATTAACCTGCCCGCGACTACCTGTCCGGTTGGTATCGACGCGTGACCCGATGGCTGATCGTGATCTATGGCGTCACAAACACAAGATCCATTGACCGTCATTGAACTGTCGACTGCATAGCGTTCGCATTGTTGGCACCTCCCATTTACGACAGACTGATTGATCCGTGACGTTTGGTTAGGGAACGGATTTTTTAAGGAAACGCTCACGTAAACTGCTTGTACGTAATTACGTACGAAAAAGCTCATGCAAATTGACTCAAGTAGAACTATTAGTGAATCTCTTTCGTTATGTTGCCGTCGCTAGATATCGAACGCTCGCTATCGCTGCGAACTAGAGAGCGGACTGTTGGGGCGCAACGTCAACACTGAAGTAAGTGATCGGGTGTAAACTTGCCTACCGATATACCTGAGGGGCTCAAATATAGTCGCGCGCTAGTCGTCAATCGTAGGACCGCTTCTGGCGTACAGGAATCTTATATAATTAGCACTATTCCTATTATTATTATTATAAGAAAATGCGCATCACGGTCCAATATTACATTATTAATACGTTCTACATTGTTAAAATTGTAGTATGTTTATACTTAGAATAACGTATTTCGGCAAGGATAATCTGTGTTCAAAGTTAAATCATCCTTAAATTCCCGTCCCGGATGTATAGGAGGCGTATCCTAACAATAAAATGGAATTATTAGGCCGACTAAAAGTTAAAAATGCTCTTTTTTTCTTTATTTCGTCCATAGGCTGGTTTATGTTTACGCAAGCGATGCTGACACTTGGTCTCATGTTTGAATTGACAGCGTTAATCGTTCTAAGTATACTTCTAATGAGATACCTTTTGCGATACGAGATCGTCATCCTGACAGCGGCCTTCGTCCTCGAGGCACTCACCGCCCTGTTGCTGTTTCTCGGTAGGCTTTATATATATATTTTTGCTATTTGATAGATTAGTAACTGATTGCGCATTTAGTCAGTTGATACTACGACAGCTGAGTGTACAACGGTACTGTTACTCAGAGCTTGTCAGAACATATGTCGAGAATGTTTTGGTGTTCAACAATTACGACTCGCCTGGTTTGGCGCAGACAAATTTCCGCTAGTACCTAGAAAAAATAGATTACTAGTATACTTTATACTACATAAGCTAGTCATTATGTGGCAAAGTTTGACGCAGCAATCATGCCATGTCAACTCTGGCCTGTGTCTTTCGTTTGCATCAAAGAGGGGCGCGTTCCGTCTCCATAGTTATCTCGCTTACATTATCTCAATTACAACTACCGCAATGAAATCGGGTCATTAGGTAGGTTTGATTGTGATCCTCAAGCTGGCTCGGTACTTGCCAAGGTTATCGCTCATCGTTTAAACGATCCTCGTGTAGTATGTTTGTATGTAGAGATAGATAACGTAATGCTTAATTCACTGTTAATTACCAACGTCTCTTTCATCTTGTTAAACTTTAAGCCTTGGTGGCGATACCATTTAACAGAAACAGGTTCCTTGTACTATTATTCGCACGAGCCATCTGTGTACATGGTCACAGTATGAAACGTGCGATACGTTGTTTTGGTAAGACGACACAACGAAATAGCAGTAAATATAACATACGCTCGCTTTGAATACGACATCGAAACATCCGTTAGAATAAAACTGTTGTATGACGCATGGAAAAGGCCATTATACCCATGTTATTTCGTGTGGATTTTCATTTTAGGTGTTTCAGTCTTCGGGGGTATGGCCTTTAGCAGATATTGGCTGCTGTATCCGAACTTTAATCATCTGGGCTGGGGCTACGCATTTGCCGTAATCGCCATGTTTTTCCATGCATTCACGGCGTGTATGCTACTAAAGGAAGCGTTCAACTCAAAAGAACGTCGGAGAAGGGACAACAATCTCGTATACAATATGCAGCCCCGTGGGGAGCCTATGAGGTAATCAACTATTTTTTTGTTGATAAGTTCATTCACCAAGAGATTTACGATCAGAGACTACTCAGTACAAAGTTGATTCGTCGTCCTGCGATTGGGATGGACGTAGGCAAGGCGGTGCATTCGGTAGCTGGCTCTAAGGTATGAGACATCAACCGCTGGCTGGTAGGGTATCGATAACTGAATCAGAGCTTTTCAAGGTGTATGATCGAACTGCTAAAACAGGCTGATGGGATAGTATAGACATGTACATTGGAATAACCCAGGCAAGTATGTGGGTTTACTAAACCAACTGGTTGAGGAGCTGCATGAGAAAAGGTGCCCTAGAGCAGTAACGATTGCTTCAATAGAAGAAAATTGCAGTGACCTTGGGTTGAGGACGGGTAGCCGTGAACTTACTCTGGGTTAGATGAGGAAATGTTAAGTGTTTATGCTCGATATAGATTCCGCACGAGAACTAGATCTAAAATAGTAGGCTTGCATGTTCGGGTTGGTAAAAAAGGGTTGATGTGTGTTTCAATATATAGTCACCTCGCTGATCGGTGCCCGTCCTCGATGTAATCATTAAGCGATTCTAAATCAAGTAAACAATATAGGTGTATCTGCACGCTCTAAAAATTAACTCTTAACGTTTCAGAGTTACTGTTGTCTAATAAACAAAAGGTGTAAGGTACGCTAAATGTCGGATACTTTTTAAATTGTTAATATAATGTATACATTGATATCCATTTATCAGACCAACAGTAATGTAAAATGAAGATATTTAATTTTTCTAGAAATGCTCATATAACCAGATATAAAGGCTTTATTTAGATTTCTAATTGCAGAGCTGATTTCAAATGTCCTGTGCTAGATTCTTATTGCACCTTTATATATAATACGTGTTAATGTTATTATGAGCCATTCAGTTTATTGAAAAGGACACACAAAAAAGGCTGGCCTAACTTTGACCCCTGCACCAGCTCGGATGGTCATGGCATTCAGTTGAAATCAAATCTACCGATATCTGGCTTAGCAAGTATGCCTGCACAACGTTTTTTGACCTGTTACCTAATCAACGCCGTCGATACTAATTTTACAGGTATTAAGCCAAGAAACAACTACGAAACAGGAGACAAGAAGCTTACTACGGCCTTTAACTGTCGTCAATGGAAACACAACATAAGGTGCACACACGTGCACAAGAATAAGCGGCGAATCCATATTTTGCCGGTACAAAATTACAAACAGCCCCGGCCAAGGCTAAGGAACAAACATGAAAATAATTTTCCCAGCCAACTTTCAGGACTATTGTCCTTTTTTCAATTGACAATTTAACACAACGACGTTGCCGACTTTTATATGTGAAGTATTTTATAATCACATTATAGTACACATTTTTTTAAAAATGACCATTTAACATGAAAGCTGTTGACGACTGAGTAAATACTCTAGTAGTACAATACAAGTTTACCTTGGTAGCAGCGAGACGCCTTTAAAAAAGACAAGATCACTTCTCTTATTTATAAGGTCTACCGAAAACAAATAGCAAACCGGTTACGTAGAGTGGGTCAGTGATTAAGACAATCCAGAATTTTACACTAGTTGGAAATATTGAAATGTCTTCCGCCAAATGCGTATTACCGATACTTAAAAGTAGGGTCGAATTAGACAATAAGTCATCCTAAGCGGCTATCTCCATTGCAACAAAAAACAATAACAACCAAAATTTACCACGACGTAAATATATACATCAATATTGCTAAAACTAGCCGTGTGTGATTGTTTCGCCCGTCCTCACAGCACTGTAGTACATGAAAGCTCTCATGTGACCGGGACCCTTCGACGAGGCCATGGCATACTAGCCGTGGTAAGCATGGCTATCAATTATCTTGAAAACGGGCATGGAAAAACATGAGCGCCCACCTTGTATTATGCAGACCCAAGTAAGCCCGCTTTCAAGAACCCTTGCTGATGCAAACGTCTCTTAGGCATGCCTCGTTTTACATCATAGAAATCAGCCCGTAAATCATAGTGATGACATAAACCAGCTCTACTAGTGGTAATTCATTATTTTTGGCATAACCGTATTATGTACGTTTATTTATATATTATGTCAACTAGTCTTATAGCAGCAACCCGAGAATATGGTGTCGAATACCCCTTCCTTCTTTTACCTATAGGATTTAATTAAAATTAGGTGAGTAATACTAGTTCGAGTTTTCTTACCCGTGGAATTTCGTATCCTATTGACCATTATGTGCCTCTGAAATCTTCGAACAAAATGTGTGCGACCCGATAGCACTTACTCAACGATACAGTGCCGTGTTGTGTACAACTGAAGCTGAAATGACGAGGCACCGTCCGAAGCGCGAAGATATGAGGGGTGCGACCTCTAACAATATGCATTTATTGTGTTGTATGAGTGAATAACATAACCGGATTAATCCCGTCGTTGCCACGCTGAGCTGAAGAAAACGTGTTCACAGAAAATACAATATTCTCTCATCTAACACGCTGGCAGGCCGTAAACGTTTTGGGGAACGTCGCAGCATGGATAGATGTATCTATTTCTATCGCACTTTAGTTTTTGGTTTAGTATTAAATATACATCTAAGCAGACAGTCGTGATAAGTGAAAATGGCATAGTAATATAGAGTTTATATTCCACAGTGGTAAAACAATGACTACAATTTTCAATCTTACATTGTACTACGGCCGCAAACAATTACATCTATACTTTTTACACTGGAACAGGGGGGGGGGTAACGATTGAAAAAGAAAGTGATACGAGGTGTCCTCTAAGGGATGGTGGCCTGTATCCGTTTGGAAATAGACGCACGAACGAACGACGAACGCGAAGAATAACATAATACACTTTGAGGCTCATTTTGAAGAATTAAAGCAAAAAGGGGTGTGGTTTTATATATGTTCTCATAATAGCGTTTTATATGGAAAAATGATTATTTTTCTTTTTTATTCAATATTTATCAACTTTATAAGAAGAAACTATTAATGTATTCTTATACATCGTTCGCATACAAAGCAGCTATATATTTATATATATACACACAGTGGCAAGAAATGGAAAAATCGGCCGATTTGATGCAAATGGCGAGGATGACTGCAAATATACGAGCATCTATTTCATAAGTAGATGAAATGTTGATTGATCATTACTGGAAACCTCTACTTAAAATATTGCAGGAAGAAATCTATAAGATGCGCACTTCCTGCATAACGTCATGTAAACAAGAAATTCGTCTTTTTGCAGTCGATACGAGTATTTTGAGCTAGATTAGGATATCAGATAAACCATGAAGGCCAAGAATGGTGCATTGATAAAAAAAAAAAAAAAAACAAAAAAATGCGTCAGAAAGACTGAACCAGTAGTAGTTGCGCACAGCCTTGATACTGCAGAGGGAAAAAATATTAAAAAGGATATGCATTGTACACTTGACGAATCTATTCTAGACCTGTGAACGAGGAAATTTAGAATAAAAAACAACGAGAATCGAACGCTCGATGTTCTCTATCTTTTGCCAGTAATATAGGGACCAAGGGCTAGATCAATGTTCCACCCGACATCCTCTATCAGGGTGATCAAATTGTCTGTAATATATAACGTGAGTCATTGTTATTTGTAAGTTTCGTCCGTATTGACAGAATAAATTCTGTCACGTGACGGTGTAAAAGTGACCAACAAACTAAGAAACACGCGAAGTAATCTAGATTCAGACGTAGACACGCTTCATTTCATATTGAGATTCAACCGTCCCCGAGAATGCTCAGTAACGATAGATAATGCTTAGCGACGTAAGATACGGGACATTTGCACCAAAGCTTTAGTTGCCCACTATTTTTCCACAGTTGACAAACACCCCTATTGAGGCCAGATATACTCTACAGCAGAAATACATCCACGATACGTTACATATCGCTGGCTCGTTTCTGTTCATCAATAACATGTTTTAGATGGTCAAAACGTCTTCGGTTGAAACAACAGCAGACACTATTCATCCACCTCGGATACTTCCAGCATAGGAGTAAAGCATTAGAAGTAAACCTAATTGGAAGTTACGTCATTTTTTACATATCCAGTGCTGAGCTGTATGGATTAGATATGCCCTCTGTATTCAATAATAATCCTAGAGATAATCTGAGATGCGAAAGTTGTGAGCGACTGGAAATTTTTTTTAGCAAAATCCATGCAACTACAGACCTTGTAGCGTACTCAGACGGACCAACTGGCTAATAAGTTTCAACATTATCAAAATGCTATATAGAATTATCTTTTGAAATCAGTATGCTTTAGGAAACCATTATCCGATATTTCTCTAATAGTAAACCGTAACGTAATGCATTCTACCATTCTGCACGAAGCACATATGTAGCCAAAACCTTTCCAAAGGTGCGGGAAGCTGATGATACCGAAAACGGGTCACTGACGATCATCACAGCGCTCACGTTTGATACCATCCTGTAATTGCCTAACCCCGGTTCGATCAGCTGCTGTATTTTTATAAGTGGCGAACACCGGTAACTTTGATAATTCGAGTGTAAACCCGAAATTTCCATTTTGCAATTCGATGTGACTGCCCAAAATGTAACTACTACTGATATATCAAACTATTAATATAACATAATAAAAAAAAACACACGCGCCTTCGATATGTGACTGTTCGACGTCTTCTGGCATTAGCTGATCCCAGGAACTTTTCTGTTACAGTGAAGACGACTTCGTGTGCCTAATAACAGCGGTAGAGAACGACACACGAGCTCCAAAATTCTATTGTTCCCAGCTCACAAAATCGTCACTAGGCACGTAGAAGGACTCTAGCTTTTTGGTGGGTGAACCCCCACCGTTACCACCGTTTATATTACCCCGAATCGTGTTCACGTAATCGATGACTGATACATTGGAATCGCTAACAGTTATTTCCAACTGTGAAGGCAAGCCCAATCTCGGGGAGCTAGATCTAGGTTTCATTGCATCGATACAAAGTGCGCGAGGCACGGCAGCGAACTGGCCTCCACTCGGGCTGAGGATCGACACACGGAATACGCCTGGGCAACGCTTTGTAGACTGTTCCCAAAGAGGACAAAGAGACATTAGACAAGAGCTGGATACGTAAAAGTGACCTCCCTGTTTCTAGCAAAGTCCTGTGTGTGGCTGCAGCGGCCAAGTTTGGCCTGGAGCACTCGCAGAACTGCTTTCTCATTTATTTGTATTCGTTTCGAGTGCAATATAAACTCCGACACGATAAGCGGCCGACCATGGGTAAAAAGTTTAATTCGAAAGTATTTTTTGTTGCTGTTCCAGACGAACAATTCACGAACGTATGCATATGCCCTATACTTTTCAATACTTTAGCTAGCTGATGATCGCAGGTCGCTTTTTCTTCTTCTTCTTCTTCTTCTTCTTCTTCTTGTTTGTGTTATTATTATCATCACCATAATTATCCCTATAATAAAGACGCTAGCGTATGAAGGGACTTCTCAATTAAGGCGCACTCATTCGTCTTTGCAGACTCGCCGCTCGTAATCTGCGGTCAGATTTTGCCATTACGCAATGTGTGAATACGCCGGCGTCTCTAAATCTGCGCTTATTTACCTGGAAAGATAACGACTGGCTACGATAACGATTGACTTAATATTGTTGGGTTCTATAAACTGGCCGTTTGCAGCGATAGTATACGATTTCCGCGGTCTCTAGCCTAAATAATCACCAGGTGAGAGGGATACCGAAAACGTAGGCGGCACAAGCTAGTCGGAGAATTTTCCAAAAGTTCAAAACGTAAACGCCAATCTATAGCAGACAGCGTAACTCAGACGCTATAAACAGATAGAATGTTACCCACAGACGTTCTCCGATGCCTAATTTTCCAAGAGAATGTAGATTATACAACCTTATCAAATACAGTCATAACAAGATTGACGTTAAAATAAGTTGAGTAAGTTGATTAATTTTAACTTCTGCTATCACGGTCATTCATCTGTTCATGTGCCTTATGTAAATCGGCCTAAATTGGCAAACTGGCAGCATCCCATATGATAATCCAGGCGGCTAATTTGATGGGCTTCGTTAGGCAAAAGATAATATATTGGGTATCTTCGAATTCAATCCATCGTCAAGTGCGTTCGAAAATATCTTATAAAATTAAATTGAAAATTCTATTTATAGTATAAATGTACTTACTTACGGAGCGTTTTACAGATGACGGAACTTTTTATTCTCCGGGGGAATATGGTTGCTACTAGTTACGTTTATCAGAACCAGGCTAACTGCCGGCATGGCTCGTAAGTTTAGGCTGTATGTTCATACAGGCAAGCGAAGGGGACTATGACCTGTATTTACTGTGTGGCATACATACCGTGAGGGAAAACTTACTTGAACTGCCCATTGTAAGTCATTTGTAAACTCAAACAGAGAAAAGAGGTCTTTAAGACATAATACAAATGAGATTTTCGTAGGTACTTAGTACTAACTGCCACTAAAACTTGTTCCTAATAAAAAGAAGATAACTTAAATTTCTAATAGTGGCTAGCCAATTGACTCGCGTACCATGGCATTCTCTATTTTAGGCAAAACACGCCAATGTGCGAACTTTCGTGCCTTTTAATTGGCCCTAAAAACTAATCCTGTTTGATTCACAAGGCTTCGTTCGTCGAAATCTATTCTGATTGTTGAGACTGCATATTGAACAAAAAGGACTTGCCCCATCTCTGCCAATAATTATCATGTAGGATTAGGGACAACGGCGTAGAATGTTTCGCTCTTCTTCCAGCTCCGCACCTAGGCGCAAGCTGAGGAAACGTAATCCCGATGTTTGATTTCCCCATCCACATGCAGAACTTGTTTCAGAGACCTCTAATATAAATATGCCCTTTACGACCGCTCATTAGTAACTGAAGCGTTGGCATCTGTGAGAATCGTCAACAATAGTTCAGAAGATAGCTGGACTGCTCCCCTCACAACAGTTGTCACAAAAGACAAGAGTATTTACCTAACACATCATACTTAGCCTACCATATGCGGAGCCATTCTAAGCACACTGTACGTATTTACACTGACGATGTTTAACCTTCCATAGCAGAAATATACCTATGTAAATCTACAAAATGATCATCTCCTAGGTGTTTGGCCGGTGCGAGCTTTCCAGCCACCTTCGTGAGCCCATAAATACGCCTGACGGCCCGTTCCAACCGTCGAAAACCCCGTTCATCACGCCACTGAGATCTATGCAGCGGAGCTGATGAATCCGACAATTTGTACGGGTACTCATTCGTCGACGAAACGAAAAATGCCAAAGTCAGCTGAGCGTGTGCGTGTTGTTATCGAACTATCGTCTGTGTGTATCATTTATATTGTTGACAATATCAGCCATTCATCAGAGACGTCCTGTGTTTCGTATTCTGCCGAACGCTCACTGAAGATTACGCACGATTTCGTCTCTGAGTTGCCATGTAATCGTAGAGCCGAACTTATAGGAAATGTTCTTTTGTTATGGAAAAACAACGATGTGGAACATATGTAGGAAAGCTTAACTTTGGATAGAACGGCGAGTTGCTTTAGAGTGTTTATCTAGCACGCTGACAGCGAGCGCAGCAAACAACGGATCCATGTTGTAGTATCATGACACTCTGGCGACAGGTATCATAAATTTACTCAGAAATCTATTCAAGTGAAGCAAAGCTTTGTGCCGTTAACGCCACACACTGAAGCAGCCATTCACCTCTGATCAATAAATTCATCTCACTCGTCGCCTTCTAGATTTGACTGTGCAACGTAGTCTTTTTGCCAGCTAGCTAGCTAGCTAGCTAGCTACGTACCTCAGACAATCATACTTAGAAAAAAAAGGCGCAATATTTCAAAAAACAAATTGGTCCGAATAGAAGCCTACGCAGCGGCCCTCCAGTTGGCCACCAAACACTAAAACACCAGTGTATACTGCCATTAATTACCACAGTTATACACGGCATTTTTGTAGTGGTTCATTGTCTGTGGAATATTCCTAAATATATCATTTGGCGCCAACCGTTTACGTGCTGATATATTTATATCGAAACATCTATCGTCTCTAAAGGTAAAGATGTGTTTCTTGTAGTAATGACAGTAACTCGAATTCGGTATCTTATTGTCAAAGAGATATTTAAATCATCGAACTGTTTTCGTAACGAGTGAAAAAAAAAAGATCACATAGTCTACAATTTCGTAATACGAATCAATATAAAATTAATTCAGGCATCCTTAATGAGTCCTGCGGTGCTCATTCATTCGTGCCATGCAGATGCTAAAGAAAAATCTTAGAAAAAACTGCGAAATATGAAACAATGCTTTTACAGGCCTTCCCCTGCTAACGAAAAATGCCGTATATTCAAGTAAAAATTTTAGCATAGTAACTGAATTGAATCTGGCCCGCGTAAACTGGCCCCAAGCCCTCTAAGGGGCCAGCCGACCGCCTGGGCGCGTCTCTTTATTCTATAAAGAGCGTACGTACATCTAAAATAGGGTAAATATTATCTATATATGTATTGATTTGATATCGTAGTGACAATCTCGAATCTTCGCGTATTGGCCGTAAATGTGTCAACAATACAAATTAGCTAGCTTGTATCAAAAGCGTTTGACGCCGGATAAACAGTTCTAGCCTGGCATTGGAAGACTATCTATATTTCGTATACGAACGTATCACTATCGCCATATTGCTCGAAGCGAATAAGGGCCACCCCAATACAAGCACATATCAAGCGGGAAAACCATCAACTTATTCATTATTCAGACCACTTTAACATGTACCATACATTTAGACAACACACGCAGACCTCGCTACCGCATCACGTGAACGAAGCAAATGCTCGGTACTGCTTTGACGAAGCTAGATCTATTGATTGCCGAAGCCTGCTTGTCTCTATTAGGAATATTTTTAATCCAGAAATAGAGGTTCTGATCGCTTCTGCTGTGGCACTTTTTTCATTTATCATGGCAACGACTAAAGCATCCCATAATGTAATCGTAATCCCAAGTCTCGTAGCGTGGGAGTCCATTGAATGGTACATTGGGTGCACATCTGTCTACTAGGATATGTATTATAAAATTGATACAGTTTGGAAAAGCATGCATATTTTTAAATGAACAGCTCTGCGTATTGATCGAGTGAGATTTCGATTAGTCTATATCTGCTGGAAGAAAATATCATTTATTATACAAGACATAATGTTTATAATTAGTTAATAATTAACTCGGCTAAAATACGCTAAGCTAAAAGTCTAATTTCTTGCCGGTGCGTGTCGCTATAGCTTTCCCCGAACTGACCTTTCCGTAATTCATTCGATCGCCGTCCGTCTCAATGCCTCATACGATACGCATCATAAACCATGCATATCTTCGTTTTTTAAGTGGGTTTTACTAGCAAAAGCACTTTAGAACCGTACTATCGGTAAAAGAGTTCTAGCGATGCGAAGTACCTTCGTAACGGGTCTGCTTCAGAGCTCTCAGACTCCCTTTTTCCCCTTAAAATCGTAACACTCTGACTGTTGTAAATCTTCTTCATATTGTATATCGCATATTTGTTTTTGTATCACATATCCTGGCTAAATAAACGAAGATTCAACCTAAATGAAATGCAAAATAATTTGAGAAGGTATTCTAGGTCCCTCTCAACTAATAGAATGCTCATCGCGGGGTCTGTACTCCATCGATTTTCGAATGGTGCTTACAGAAGAATCGAACGAACCTCGATTCTGGTCAATTCTGGCGTGCGTCATTTTAATCATAGTCTATTTCTTCTTTTTTTCGTAATATCTCAGAGCTGAACTTTCATTGCCTAGGCTAAATTGCAACCTAACAAGCGCTGCTTATAGTATACCTTCCGCAAGTGGAGATTTGATCGGTAGGAAAAGTAAGAAGAGTAAACTGAGAATGGTACTTGTTTGAAAGATATAAAAAATACGTCGCAGATAACAAAAGCACTTACTCTTATTTATTCCGAACCTTCGGTTGCAAGACGGGTCGGCATATAGGGAAAGACTGAATATGACTTTGTCTTTGTCGAGAGATACTTTTTTCTAACATAGAAACTTTGATTTCTAATACGGGCATTATTAGGCTTCCAGGATTGTTTAAAATCAGACATGAGCATCAGCTTTTGTTAATGGATTTCTTTTTTTGTAGGACCGATTCGAAAAATGGGGCTGTTTTAGCAAGTCAAATATTGCGTTTTGCATTTTATATCTGTTGATATAAACAAGGTAGCCAAAATAGGCGGTTAATTTTTATTATCCGAGTTTCCAAGTCATGTTCCCAGTACGATCTGAAACGTGAAAGCTGCGAAGTCATTACTCTAAAAGGCCATATGCAATCACACAGGGATGCCCCACTAGCCAGTGCTAATTGCAATACAGGGAATTAGTATGTCTGGGTTGAAGTTACTAGTCATTCACGTAAACATAGCTATATATTTCGTGTGTTATTGTATGAATGGGAATTTTTAGTACGCATCATGTCGTACATATATTAATATATTTGTTTGTATCTAGAAAGTTTTATGTTGCTACCCGCAAACCTCATGGACTGATGCTCATATATAATTAGTTGTAACGAGTTTTAGACGCGATCGGACTCAAGACAAACCTAACAAACACCCCGGGATCTACCCGAGCCAAAGTACAAAGCAAGAGTTGAAACGACCCTATACAATATTACCGAGTCGCTTGGTTTAGGACTATACTTACTTGACTACGTACGTTAAATGTAACGTCTGATCGTGAAGTTTAGCGCAGAAATCCGAGGCGAAACTAACAAACACAAAGAGACATTGAATCAACACAAACATTATGCGTAATTTTTAAAAAAAAAAATGTTTTTTTTACATTATTTTCTGCCATTCGAACTAAAAGTGATAAAAACCCAAGCATAAATAGCTACTGTCTAGTTAATGCTATTCTCATAGATTAGTCCATACAAAATTCGCGGGTGTAGTTGTAGAATTGAAACTTTTCGTTATGGTGGGATGCCAATTTACCGACGAATTTGGATACGTAACACTAAAACATAAGCAAAATCTGAACGAATAAATTCAGCTCGCCATTTATATTGGGAACGGCTATTGACAAGTAATTTATAAAGTAAAAAGAAAAGCTAAGCAAGGTCAAATATTTAAATATTTTTACTAACACTTAGGTTTCTAAGTTACATAATTGTTCAGCATAACAGTCGTTATGTCCTATATACATGAGATGTATCGCATCACAGGTCGAGCGAGTACACGGAAAAAAGGCCTATAAATTGTTCCTAGTAGTGTTCGATTACTGCAAAAGAAAGAAAATGTCGTCGAGTAGATCGCATTTACATCTACCTTGAATCTTGAACATCTACTACGCGAAACTTCTATCTAATAATACCTATAGCATTAAACGATATCTCCATCACCATTCACTCCTTCTTTAATATTTACCATGAAATAAATTAACGTAACGTATCCATTAACGCAAAATTGCTTTTCACTCTCCCGTCTGTTTGTCTGTCGCTAAATTCGCCCGCGTCACGGTTTGAACTTGCCGCTACCTCAACAACCGCTACCTTTTATCGTGCAGCATGGAGAATGATGTCTAAGCGGTAGAGCGATACGCGCGCCCTCTGGTGGCTGCCGCTGCTACTACCGGCGAGCTCATGGAAAGGCCAGTTCGCGAAGAACACCCGTGTGTCGACTATCGAGTCACTTCTCAGTGGTAATAGCCGCTGTCTTTAACGCTGCGCTGAACCGTTGCTGGACGTGCTAACTGGTGATCTGTATGTATCGCTACTTCTAAAGCCAGTCGCGAGCATCCGCAAGCTGATTGTGACGACACCGTCGCGCTCTTTGTGCGCTTCATGTCACTTACGATCGCTTAACCACCATTGCGCAAGTGGTGATCAGTCGGTTGAGAAGCTCAAGCGCTCGACTGTATCTCTTCCTCTCGCAAATATCGCTCGCATCTTAAGCGCTGTGACAGCTACGGCATATCGGAACTCTCAGTGGATCCTTTCTTCAGCCGATTGTTGCTCGTTGCCCACATCGTTGTCAACGTACATTAATTAACATCGTCGTAACGAAATTTCGACTCGGTTGCCTCTGATTTGACGGCGTGCGTGTTATCCTGTGCTTCCTCTATTCCCCCTTCTTTGTAGTTCTACCTGTTTCTACTGCTTCGTTTCTCGGTGGATTCTACCCTACAGCGAGCCGACAGCAAATAACGATCGAGGGATTTCGCTTGCGACGAAGACCCTACTACAGTGACCGTATTATTAGGTGCTGGAAGAAAACCACTGAGGGGCGACCTGCTACCGAGTCGAAAGCAGATTGCTACCAACGGTGTGATCATCACCAACCAAGTGTATACCTGTGATGTATTAACGTACAAAAACGGGACAACGAATGTCGTATAGCTAAGATTGAAGTCTGTAAAAATATCCAACGATAGCGTCAACAGCAGCAGCAGTAGAGAGTGCATCGTTAGAGAACTGCTGCTACCGCAAAACGTGTAACGCACAAAGTGTAGTGCAGTCAGGAATCACTTAGTCTGTCGGATCGCCGCGCTGGTTGTTGTGAAGGTTTTTCATCATTCATCGCTATACAGAAAGGAATTTTTGGCGCGTTCGAAGAACCCACGATTTGAATTTCGCGATTATCCGAGGAATAGCAGTTGTGTGAAGTATTTTTAACTTTGTAGGCAGTTAACGATCGTTGACAGATAAACAATAATGAAGGTTCTCACAGGATTACTTCTTGGCGTCCTAGTTGGCAGTGCGGCCAGCGAATCTACCGAAGGTAAGTACACCGCCCATATATATGTACATATATATATTAGAGCGATAACGGTGGGAACACAGGGAAAGCAAACGACGGTTTTCACCGTAACACAGGTGTTTTGATTAATTCCGAAGCTATCTGGCAATATGGATGTTTTGTGGAGACGAACGAACTCATCCGTTCGAATTGTCAATGGTCTACCTATTGGATTTAAGCTAGCCGAACCGGCTAGCGTCTTCATGAGCTGTGGCAAAAAAAAGCACACGACATGTTGGTGTTTGTGGCTTACGGCGTTGTTTTGTATTCACAGTAATGGAGAAGAGTACAAACTCGATCAGGAAAAATAACGGGAATAACAACCTTCAAGACTTCTACGTGTACTTAGCCAATGGTTTTCTGTCAGAGAGTACCTGTATATTTGGTCGTTCTCCAAATAGATGCATCTCTTTGAAGAATAAGTAAAACTGTTTTTGGATTTTTAAAACCAAAAGTGTCTGCCTAGAGATTTTCATGCCATTTTAGAGCTAATGAAATATTTTATCGGCATGTGTATCCTTTATTGGAGCAATCGTTCAGGCTACCACCACGGTACCACTCGAGTCTATATCTACTGCAACATGAAGTAGTTGGAATTATTTGGCGCGAAGTCGCCGATTGAAGCCGGCCTTATTGTTACCGCGGCTATTTCGTGGCTGATGTCCGGGCTGCTTTCGTCTAAGGGTGTTTTTCTTCTATAATACAGCTACCACTGCTACTGCTGTATCTGGGTCTATAACGTCGCCTGTCTGTTCCGGACCTTTAGATTAGTAAGGTAGGTGCTCGCAGCCGGAGCACCAACGGCCTCAGTTGAAGGAGCAAGTACTGAGGGAGGCCAGCCAGAGAGAAGGGAGCCCCACCCCATAACGATGACGCTGCCTCACAACTTCACCATCTATCGCTTGCCTGTTCGTTGTCGGCAGGAGCTGTTTTGATGGTTTCGCTCCACAGCTTTATCCAACGAGTGCCGCTGTGGGGGCTCACTGCTGCCGCCGACTTCACTTAAAGCCGCACCCTACCTCTATGGCTATACCATCAAGGGCTGACCAGCTACCGAGAGTGAGTTCTCGCAAGGAGACGCTTTCAGCATTTTGTTCATTACCGCCTAATCATTCGATTTTTTACGCCACAAGTGCGCAAGCAATAGATGCTTTTAAGTTTAGATTCGTACGCAAGCTACAAACGATCCGATCGACGACTCAGGCCGACTTCAGTCCGTTTCCACCGACGGCCACACGGTTTGCATCTGACGTGTGACGTACCTGCAATATGACACTACGTTGAAAGCTTAAGAAAAACTAATACGATGCGTAATTCTTGTCCGTCGTAATACTCCGCCCATATTCACCGCCATCGTTACGCCTAAACCCCACCATCCATCGGGTCCTAGTAGTTCCGTGACTACATTTTTTGCGAACACGAGACCCGACTGAGTGTTCATGCAGGGGAAATATCGTGTGAAGGCTTGTCAGATGTGTACTTAGTACAGGCTCATGTGTATGTGTTATGTGAACCCATTTTTATGTGAATCCATTGCGTGTGGCATTAGTTCGGAGAGTAGAAAATTGCGTACCTCTACATCGACGTACACAGACGCGCGGCTGGGTGTCAAGGCGTTGGCTGTCGCCATCGTTGACGGCGGTGCCTACTTTCCTCACTGCCGACTGTTCTCTCAGCGAGCCGCAATGGCGCCAAATTCGGACATTTTAGACGTAAACAACCGTTTTAAGTAAACACACAAACACAAAATTTCCTGCAACTCTATAACCCTATATGCATCATCCACGTAATGTTGGTATTGCATAGTAATAAAGGCTTTAGTCGCTTCTTATTTGATAGAAAATGAAAAAATATAGATCTCTATTTCTATGTTTACCTGGTTTCTAGTGAAAACAACTCTGTTCAACATAATAGGCTTGATACGAAGACTTTGCTATCAGAGCATACCCATGCAGGATTCTTTTAAGGATATAACGAGATTCGAAAGAGCATCTAGAGCGAAATTGATAAGTGCAGTTAATTAACCCAGAATGCGTTTTACTTCCCAATAGCTCTTATGCAGGGGCTTTAAAAATGACCCAGAAAAATCCGTGATTCAGCTAACCAGTTCGAACCGTTACGGGCCTATGTTCGGTACCTTTGTGAGTATGTGATTGTACTATTAGTAATATTCAAAGAAAAACCAAGGCACAATCAATTAATGCTCCAACAATTAGAGAATTTTTCTAGTTCGACGACACCCGTCTTAAACTTTTACCTATAAAGGAGTTATCGTAATTTTATTTTAGAAATAGAAAAATGGCGAAAAGAAAACAAAACAATGGCGTTAATCTTAATAAAAAAAACAGACTCATTGAAATCGACGTCAGCTACGCACAATTACGCTGCAAGTATAGATTCAATGAGATGCACTCGAATAGACAGACCGGACTTAGAGGGCGGATAATTCAAGTTCATAGGGTATAATTAACCGCGTTATTATACCCCTAACAGTGTGTCTAGTAAATAAATTGCTCAACAAAAGAACACAATTACAAAAAATCGTAAAAATCATTGTTGAATGCTTGCCAAAGGGCAATTAAAGCCGTCGAGCATTAGACTATTAAAAATGCGCCTCGACATAGTACCTTGCAGAGCGACTAAAGCTATCCGGCCTGATTTAAGGTCTTCAAAACTGTTAGCATAAAACAGACGAGTCGATTGGTACTAATGTCTTAATATGAGATCTGGCCTATTCGTTCAACGCTATATATTTGCTTGAAACCATAGAAATAGTATCTTCTCTACAAAAGACATAGATCTAAGTGTTGTTACGTGGCTAAACAAGCATCCCGTATAAACAAGTATATGCTGTAGTGTAAATTTAGTACAAAGATTTCGCAGAGGTTCAGTTTAAATTTTCGCGCTATACATATAGCGATTTTTATTTTTCTAAATCTCAATTGTTGTTCGTAATCAATCAAACTTTCCGGGGGAAGAGGGGGACTCGCTACGATTCAACAGCGGCCTATTAGAGGTAGTGCATTGCGGCAAAATGAACGGCCTCTACTGTCGAAAGTTAAAAATAACAAACTCTGTTAAGCTCACGTTAGTGGCACCGGAGTAACATAAGACACGCACATATTGAACTTTTTTCGTTAAACTTGATTTTCTTCAACAAGCCGCAGACTTCAATTAAATGCCATTCAAAGAAAAATGCGTCGAATGGGAATTAAATTGGATCTGATCCTCTGATCTCCATAGTCTCCATATGATCTCTGATAGTTCGACTAGGTGCAGAGGTCGGAACGGGACAGTGCGCGTTGATTGGCTTGTGGACTGCCCTCGATTCTCTCATTTAACGATAGTTACGCTGATAAAGCACACACGCAACGCCACTATCCTCCCATTATCAGTATGTGAAGAACACACCTGGTCCGAGATCCCCTTCTGTTCTGTCGCCCGCCGATCTATCTCTTAACAACAGGGGCTCGAAGTCCGGTCAGATCCCGTGGCAAGCATGGCTGAAGCCCATGTGGCATCTGCTGCATTTTCACGCCTACCACAATGTCATTGTGATGCAGAGCAGATCCGGGCAGATGGGCTGGCCGGGCCGACAGGCTTGCCAGTGAAACATTGTCCCTTTTATTCTGTTAATATGCCGTTTTCATGAGAGCGATACATGCTTTTATTATTTGGGTTAAATGTAGTATAATTAGCTTGAATGTAGAGGACAGGATAATATGGAAGCAAACTGCGATGGTTATAGATCTTAGTTAAGGCAGTATAAGTCGAGAGTTTTGAGCGTCCGGTATTGCTGCTGCTGGAAAGCAAAAAATCTGTACATTACCAATGTCCTATTTATCTTATTATTATTTTTTTGTGTGTCGCAATATGAAATCCACATTCTGTAGTTTTTGGGGTATTCGGCGATGTGGCAAAATTTCTGCGTCCAGCCATTATCACTCATATGCGTCTACCGCACTATAATTCGTCCCTTGAGCTCACCAGCTCTTCGCTAGTCGGTCACAGCCTTCCCCCCGAGATGGCTCCGTTTCTAAAATGCGTTTGTCTTGCTTTATTTCGCCGACCAATCAATGTTCCATGTCCAGCAAGACATGGTCATCTAGCTTTCGGTCCACCGGATAGGTACCTTACATGGACAAAATAATCTGTGTCTACAGTTCCTCTGCTTTCTATAGCTGAACATTCCCGTTGTTGGATTTCACCGTCCTCGTCATCATCTTGCCGTTCACCATCAGCATCACCAGCTGCTACCGTTGCATTCATAGCCAAGAAGGAAGAAGAAATACACAATCATAGAATCGACAACAAAAACGTGGCTGCTATGTCTGCTACCGACGACGAAGACGTCAACTAACTGGGGAAATGATTCGAACCGATACCATACGACAGCATACGAGAAATGGCACGAATACGAGCGACGATTATTTTATACCTACCGGCCGGCTTATGAGCTGCTGTGTCCTGCCGATTTTCTGTCTGTCGGTGTATGTGTGCTCGTGCATGCGTCGTGCCTGGGTGAGGTGGCTGTCGACCATCTCAGTGCGGCGGTGTTCGGGGAAGGGCGGCCGCCATGTTGGCAGCAGTCGCCAGTAAAGGCGATGGCGAACGACTCAGCGGTCGCGACAAAAGCAGCGGACACTGCTCCTACAGCATCAACAGCCAATTCGGCGGCGGGAGCGGCGGCACAGCCGCCGCCATCATAGAGTGAAGCGCGAGCGAAGTCCGTTGAAGTAGTAGCTAGGGGGAGGGTCGCAGCCCCACGCCGGCTCCATTCGCTGGCCGCTATTGAATCTTTTTCCTTGATCATTGCTTGGCTAAGCGACGGCTGAGAGTGGGTCTAGAGGATCGCACCAACTTTTGCTGCAGCGTTCTGTGCATGGTTCTGATGCAAACTGTTGCTACTGATCTCGCTTCGTTCGTTTGTTAGCGCTCCTCACCATCCTTCGTTGCTCTTAGCACTGCGGCGTCTACCTCGA